AGGTTCAAAAATATTTTTGATACCTATATTGGTTGTTGAGAATTTAGCTTCAAAGTTTACCTCGCAAAACTTTTCGCGAAACCTAATAGTTGTAATTCTACATTGATCTTAGTGATCTTAGCAACTACAGTAACACTAAAATCCAAAGTTAGTACGACACAATTTACAAGCTTAATCTTTTAAAGTTGAGGAACGCTGCACTAATGTATGGATATTTGTGTTAAATTTAATGATACCACTGTATAACACTAAATTTTAGCCTAAATGTTAACTATTTGTTATTTTAAAGGAATAAAATTAATAAAACCACAATTTTTAATATCCCAAAGACTAATATAGAAATATTATACAAACTAACTTCTAAATTATATTCAAAATATTAGTGCTAGGACAAAAGAACTTTTTATCAAGATTAAGTGTTAAACATAAATTTTTATTAAAATTGAGATTAATTACTAGAGTAAAGTAATTACATCTATATATGTGTACAGGAATTGCATAGTGTACTTTCTATGTGTACTAGTGTACCGGATAGTTACAATATGTGCTAATATGATTGTGATAATTTAAAGTTCAGAACACGTGATAAATGTATTTCAATAAATCGTTTCACTTTTTTGAGTAAAAATTCAAAACATGATAACTGCAAAAGCATGTGTGTATTGGTCTATATAAAAGCTATATATTAGTTATCAAGGTTTTATATTCTTACTCTACAATAGAAATGATCCATTCGTATAAATATCTCACTATAAATATCACATCTTTAGTATATTATATACTAAAGATAATATTTAAAGAATTTACACAGAGTTAGAAAAACATATGGCTATATTATCAAGATCAAATGCTACTATTTTCATTTATTATTTAAATTAACATAATTTAAGATTAAATTAGACCAATTCACTGAATTATCCATATGATGTTCTTGGTATATAAACAGCGACACAAACCTCCAGTTCCAAAACAAGTTGATAGGTATTGACTGTCAATAATGAAAGTCTTCATAGCCTTAGCCTTAATAGTGTCGGTGAGCGCCGTTCCCCCCAAGGAACTGGACAGCGAATGGATTGCATTCAAGGAATGTATTATTTAATCCAGAATTGAGTATAAATTTACTTTAATCATTGCATTACAGAATGAATTCCGTGGACTTGGTATATAAACAGCGACACAAACCTCCAGTTCCAAAACAAGTTGATAGGTATTGACTGTCAATAATGAAAGTCTTCATAGCCTTAGCCTTAATAGTGTCGGTGAGCGCCGTTCCCCTCCAGGAACTGGACAGCGAATGGATTGCATTCAAGGAATGTATTATTTAATCGAGAATTTAGTATAAATTTACTTTAATCATTGCATTACAGAATGAATTCCGTGGGAACTCCTACTTAGGAGCTGAAGAGGAGGCTATGCGACGACAGATCTTTGAGCGAAATTATGAGTACATCACTGCCCATAACGCCGACAAAGGTCTCCACACTTTCTGATTGGGTGTCAACCAGTTTGCAGACATGACTTATCAGGAGTACCAACAGCTCCTAACCCTGAGGTTGAATGTAGACCACGTGAACACCGAGTTAGTCAAGGAGGTGGTCGACCAGGCCCTACCCGACAGCGTAGACTGGAGGTCCAAGAATGTGGTCACACATGTCAAGGATCAGGGACAGGTATGACAACTATAGTACAGTAGTATAGTTTGTAATTTTTATTAGTCAATAGCTAACATACACCCTAGAAAATTAAATACACGTTTCAATTTTGTTTATACATTAGGATAACTCTTTATAATTTTGAATTAAATAATTTAAAAGCAGTTTAATTTTTTATAAATAATTGATATTTAATAAGTTTAATTATACTTTAAGTCTCTCTCTCTCTCAAATTTGACACTTTGTCAAACACTCTCAACAAACTGTCTCCCGCTTTGCATTATCTGAATATTTCTGTCGCTTTTTCATGATATCTAAAACTTTTAACTATTTTGACGTAAGAATAAACCAAACAAACAAGTGTTGCACTAATTATACAATAAGCATATATTTATTAAATACATAAAATTGTAAAAAATTTATTTATTTAATAAATAAAAATTTTTCTTGAAAATTTAATAAATATCTATTTACACATGTCTTAAATTCATAGATATCACCAGCATAAATTTCATGGGTGTTGAAATCAATGGTGAAACTTCTATTTGTTCAATTATGCAATTAAATCTTTAAAAATAAATTTGTAATTCTTATAGTTTATGATAAGAAAACAATGTGTGATATGATTGAGAAAGCTCATGACCGTATTATCAATGCAAAAAATCAATAATAATTTTCTATTAGTACTGAAATTAATTATGAGATTAAAAGTACAGCATATAATTCACACGTATTGGTAAACTATACATTTTGCATCGTTTGATTCCGATAAAAAACTTTGTATATAAACAGTGTCGCAAACCTCCAGTTCCAATACAAGTTTGATAGGTATTGACTGTCAATAATGAAAGCCTTCATAGCCTTAGCCTTAATCGTGTCGGTGAGCGCCGTTCCCCTCCAGGAACTGGACAGTGAATGGATTGCATTCAAGGTATGTATTCTTAAACACAGAATTTACTACAGAATTGTAATACTAATCATTGCATTACAGAATGAATTCCGTGGGAACTCCTACTTAGGAGCGGAAGAGGAGTCTATGCGGCGACAGATCTTTGAGCGAAATTATGAGTACATCACTGCCCATAACGCCGAGGCGGACAAAGGTCTCCACACTTTCCGAATGGGTGTCAACCAGTTTGCAGACATGACTAACGAGGAGTA